GGATATTTGATTGCAATAAAATCTTCTCTATAATTTTTAAAAGATCTTGGAACTTCACAATTTCCAAAACAATGTTTTTTTCCATAAAAATTACCTTTTGTTCGACAAACAAAAGAACATAATTTTCCCTACCTTGCTTTTTTGCAATAAATTTCATGCGAAGTGAACTGATACAAAAATCTTTCACAAAGCTAAAAATTATTCTGCCACGGAATTGTACAACCTGTAAAAGGCTGCTTTCTATCAATCGCAACATATATAATTTGAACTTACGAATTTAACGAATACAATTCGTTACTACAATCAATTAGATGTAGAAATAACAAGATATATATATATATTTGAACACAATATTTATACATACAAATTTCAGTGCGAGAGATGAAATGAATATCATTTCAAACAAACACTTCTTGAACAACAAAAGAATAAGCGAAAGGCAATATATACATTGCAATATATACATGTAAAAGAATAAGTCCTTAGACATACATTCAAGAGATCCTTCGAGTTTTAAAAACCTTACAATTAAAGAAACCGCAGTGGTGAGAATCTACAAGTCATGATTGCAGAAAATGCCTTAATTGAAAGAAATGAATTTGAGCAAATTCAACTTTAATAATATGAGAGTAAAAAAAGGTTAAAAGAAAAATGAGATTAACTACAAAGGCATTTTTACATTGACAAAGTAAAAAGCCGAAGGAAAATGATAATTTTTACGATTATCATATGTACACATAATACTTTATAATATAAATAGTAAAACGCAGTAAATTAATGCATAAGGCCATTAATATTGCGATCGGACTCAGTCATAAATTCCTGTGGTATTGTGCTTTGATTGAATTCAATAGTAGAACTGCATCACTGCGACTGGATTAAATTTACAGAATACTGAGAAGCGAATCCTAAAAGACAATTATGTGGTAAATCTTTTGCAATTAAATTCAGAAGTAACATCTTCTACAATAGATTTAAAACTTCTGATGAGTCTCGTACATAATATAGAAGAAAATCAAAGATGCTGGACTTTACAAATTGAAAAGTTTAAGCAAAAACAAATATGATCAAGTTTTAAATCGCCGTCTTGCTAGACATGATGATGTGTAGCTAAAATTTTTAAAATTTCTACGTATACGATCGAAGCAAACTTCAGCTTACTAGGCAGAAATATCTCAGCACTATTTTTTTTATCTATATCATTTAAAACTTATAGTTTATTGTTTTCATTACTAAAATTAAAACATTAGTAATGGAGAACATAATACTGGATAAAAATTTAAACCCATTATACAATTCTTCATCTAAGAGTTAGATTGAAGTATTTTTATTACGTGCACAATAAAGAAGAGTGAAAGAAGAAACCTAACTTGATATACATTTTTAAGTATTTCTATTTACGCCTGCCAAAATCACGTGATCCACATACATACCTTACTATTTCGTCCATCACTTTCTCAGTTATTCCGCGAGCCAAACTGAAAGCTAACTTAATTATCTAATTATGTAATGAGTACTCAAATAAGAACCAATAAAACTGTTTTAATTGTGCAAAAATTATATTGCACACAGCAGTCTGAAATGCCGACTAAATTATAGAATTAACTGACACTTATTCATAACTCCGGAAAATAATACAACAAACTACTTCATCAACTGCTCTTTAGTTATTCCCTGTCTTCGTCTTTATTCTAGAAATTTAGAATCGAGTCAAATACTGAAATAATAACAAGTTTTTATTTCACTTCAACTTTTTTTACTTGCTATTGAACTATGGAATTGTTAGAGGAAAGAAACTGAATGCTGAAAAAATATCGAAAATGCTTAGATAACTGTTGTACTCTTCTATCTTCTATGTTCTTTGCTGATTCATGAGTCGGAGCACTCCGTTTTGCTACTCCGGAATCGTTTCTTACGAGGCGTGTTGACACTACTTGACGCCTTCTCTGAATGGGACAAAACTTTACACCCTAACATTTTCTTATAGAATTAAATATTCCTGGTTAGTAAAATAGTCATTTAGATTTACGACAGGCAATTAAAATGCACACTGAATTTTCTTTGTCTCGTATTTATTAATTTCAATAAAAAAAAATGTTGTTTAGGAGATATAAACAAGTTTAGGTCCTTAGAAATATTATCAGCAATTCAGTAAGATGGGAATTTTTGTCTGCAGCTGAATGTGAAGTAATGATTTCCTGAAGTCCTGAAACTAAGAAAACCAGAAGCATCAACCGTAATTTACATAATATCTTATTGTTTGTGTTCTATTATCAAGCGATATAAACTTACATCAAGTTTTTGTGGCAGTAAATATCCTGGACTACGCAAAGTTTCCTGAACTTGACGAAAAGTTGCTGGAAGTTTTGATTTATTTGGCGAACGCTGCAAGGGCATTTGTACTTGTGGGGTTTTCTTTGATGAATATTCTTTTTTGACTTTTTCTTTGATCATCTAAAAAGTATAAAACCAAAAAACATGTGCAATCATGAAAAAATTTGTAGTAATGATAAAAAATCCCTTGTGATGAGCTAGAGACTTTGCCACGCTGTCAGATGAAATCTATATTATAGGATGTGAGCTACTAAATTGAAATTGGTTTCGGAATTTTTTCAGGAAAATAATATCGCTTTGCTTTTAAGATGAAGGATAACATAACCAGAACCTTATTTAACGACAAAACGACGACGTTATGAAAACTGTCAATTGCCTTTCGTAGCGGTATAAACTCTTTCGAAAATAATTTCTCACGAATTGAGCAAAATTCTTCAAAATTGTACAAGAGATCACAAAGAGAAGTTGCGAAGAATGCATAATTGGCAATTTGAAATGGACTAAAAAGCATTTCAGAATGTTAGTAGCCAAATCTATATTATTTTAATGTATGAAATGATTACATATCCAATAATTTTTGGACTAAATTTGCAAAATCGTTCATGTGTACTTTACAGATATTTTATAC